TGTTGGATAAAAATCTAGCTTTTAGAAAATTAAGGTTTGAATATCCACTAACATATATTTTTTTCTTTTCTCTTTTCCTATTTAAAAAAATTATTTTAATATATAATACAATATTTCAAAGTTGAGAAGTTGAAACTCTATACAGATGCACCGTGCATCATACTTGAAAGTAACATTTTTGAGAGTAAAAAAAACTTCCACATGGAAAATCCTGTCTTCCATAGAATAATTAAGTATGCAGAATAGTGTATTTGGAAATCTTGTCGTAATTATATTATTGGGTTGACAAAGAGAAAGAGGGACAAGGATGAAGGTTTAAAGTAGCATTTTTTTTATGGAAATTAACGATGGAGCATCAGTTTAAATATAATTTTTCTCGTTTACTTTAAGAAAATGACATTAAAAACATCGTTTGACCAAAGAACCAATCCAGAAGTAGGCTCCGTCTCAAACAAAGAAAGGCAGCAAAATTTAAGAATCATTGGTCGGTTCTTCTTCAATTTGTTTCTTTGTTTCTTTGTCTTTTCTTCTTCTTCTTCTTCCTCTTTTTTTTTTTTTTTCCTTTTTCTCTTCCATTTTTTTACTATTCCTAAGATTATTTACCCAGAATTACTCTTTAAAATAACGAACAGCCAAAATAGTAATAATAATAATAATACAAATAAATAAAGATTTCATTTTTCTATTATGACCATCTGTTTTCTGACCCCAGTTGTGGAGAAAATTATTACAGATCTTATCATTGAAGATTTTTAAAAAGTTTTTTTTTTTTAATTTTATTTTTGTGCTGTGTATATCTGTCAAAAGAATTGTAGCCATATATTGCTATTGTTATTTTAAATAATTTGTCATTGTGATAGCTACAAATAATTTTGAATAATTATGTTAGAACGTCTGAGTTTCATAGGAATACACATCGAATTGGCTAACTTTGTATAGAATGATGTGTGTTAATAAGAAAATAATGGACATTGGGAATTGGGATGCATATGGGAGAAAAACCAATTTTCTATTTTGAATAGTTTAGCAATATAAAATAATGGGTCAAAGTTGGTTCCAAAAAAGTTTAAATTACAAAATTACCTCTAAACTTTCTCCTTATTTCTAAAAATTGTTCTTAACCTTTCTTAAAAACAGAATCTATTAATATTTTGAACTTAAAATTGGTGAGGTAGAATTTAGAATAACGTAGGAATTAATAGAAGCTCGCTTAGAATAATTACTCGATACTACAACAAATTTGACTTTTAATAATGGTAACAGAATTTACGAGTAGAAACAAATGATGACCCTACAATAGACTATATTAAGGGTCAAATTTATTGTAGTACGAATTAATTGTTTAAGGTAAAAACTTCCATAGATCCGACCATGGTGAAATTAGCATTCGAATTATTTAATAATATTGATTCACAAGTGGAAACAATGAGCCCACAATAAACTAAATTTAGGTATGTTTTATAATTTGGCCAAAAAAATTATTTCTTAATTAAGAGATTAAAACAAGATAGAGAATTGAAAAGTGGAGCCAACATTGGGCCATTTCAATTGATTTTTTTGTTGGTTTGTTTCAAACTTTTATACAACCATATATTTAATTATGAATAATTACAACTTTTTTAGATCATGCATGCATAATTCAATCTTTATTCTTTTAAATAAACAAATCCTTCATATAAAATATAATAAATTGTTTTTTGTCTTCTTTCTATTACCGAATAATTTTTTACAGGTTGTCCACCGTTTTGTAGTGAATACAAAATTCACGTTTATCATTTGAGTTTTGATTTTTCTTTAAAAAATAAATGTTCTGGAACCATACACTTTTGCTTTTGTTTTTGTTTTTTTATTTTTCAGTCCTTAAATTTATACTTCCTTTTTTGAGTTCTTGTTAACTTAATAGTTTTTCCTTCCGAATGAAGAAATGAAACATAAATACATTGATATTTATTTAATTATCTCCTTCTAGAAGACTGTTAATTTAGTTTTCATTTTGAATAGATTTTTTAAATAATGGCCAAATTACTCAGTTTTTTTTTGTTTTTTATTTAGTTTTCTTTCCTTTTTTGTTTATCCTTCCAAAGAAAAAAAAAACATGTCATAATAACTAGTCTCTTTATATATTATATTCATGAGATCAAAGTTTTGTTATTTAATATTTTAGGAGGGAGAAAAAAATTAGCTTTAACGTGAGGAAGTAATACTAAATATTTTAATTAAACCTGACATTTTCAACATCTCGCATTTGAAATTTTATTGTCTTTAATTATTTCAAGACTATTTATTTCCTCTTCAGTTATTGTCTCCCATTGACAATAAGCTTAGAAAATCATACATTACTGATTACAAATTGAATGGTAACTGGGCCCTCAATGGGCCGCCTATCAACTTGGACCAATTCAATGACCGAAGAAAAGGCCCACTTTTGTTTTATTTTTTTTCCACTATATAAAATACCAGATTATTCAATTTGATTATAGTCTTTTAGTGGACTATCATGCTAAGTCACAAAAAAAAAAAGGGATATTACAATCAAATTTATTTCCCACTTTATTAAATAAAGATTAAAAATGTTTTTCTGACCGGACGACAGAGGGCAAAGGAAGTTTATTAAAAATTCTGTATATGGACTTAAAGACAGAAGATGTTCTTATTGTGAACTACATATATTAATATATAATAAAATAAATTTAAATTTGTTTTGGTTGTTAATTTTTTGTACGTATGTTCTTTTTAGTCTTTTAATTGAGATATTCTAATGGTAGCTCATTCATTTGAGCTTAGCCTATTTTAATCTCTCCTTTGAATAAAAATTCATTTTAATCTTTAATTTTTATTTTCTCCCAATCATTTAATAAGAACTCAAATTAATTTTAAAACATATACATAATTTACTACACGTGACTTCATCTAGTTCATATGTATCCATTAGAGCATAGCTTAAGTGGATAAGACATTTATTATCATCTCTACGATAGATAGTTTGATCTTCTRCTCTTACCATTAAAAATTTCCATGTATTTTTTTCAGCCATATATTTGTAAATGTAGACATTTGTTGATATGATGAATGAATAAATTCAATATGCCACAACCCATACCAAGTTTGATTTAAATAATTTATTAAAATTACATAGCAATAACTAAAATATTTTTTTTATATATAAATTAAACTAGTGAATTCTCTATCTTAATTATATAACATTTTCTGAATTTTCAACGTAAATATAAACCGTCTATTTTATTTGGATGGTAATATTCTAGCTTATTGTGCACTGGTTATACACATGTACTGTTGTAAAAGTTAATGATTCAATCCTCATTCTTTCTGTTGTTGATCTGAAAAAAGTAATAACCTAAAAAGAATTCTATTTTTACCTAATTCACATATATGACTATTTTTCTTCGTTTGAACTTTAAAAAAAAAAATCAAAATATTAAGACCCGTTTAGTAATGTTAATGTTTTTTGCTATGTTTGTTCATTTTTAATAAGAAAAATGAATTGCAGTGTCCCAACCTCCACGAATTTAAGTATGATAAAACAATATTTTTATTTATATTTTGGAATAAATTGRAAATGAGAACAAGAAAAAAGAAACTTGTTTTGTTTCCAAAATTTTTTATATAAGTTTGATAATGTTCCCAAAAAGAGAAACAAGAAAAATAGATACTTGCAAAATGGTTAAATTTCTTAAGAAAATTAAAAATAAGAAACAAGAAACARTATCGTTGTCCTTAGATTCTCATTTTTTTTGTTATTAATTGTCTATTTTTCTTTCCACTGTTCTYTTCCTAAACGAAAACAAATATTCACATTTGGTCCGATAACATTATATCATTTATTAAAAATTTTAAATACTAATGTTTTATTGTTAAGCATTTTATAAATCTTTATCTATATGAAATCAGACTATTTTATAAGATAATTATGCTTTATATTTGTATAAACCTCTAATAATAAGATGTCATATTCCTTTTAATAAAAGGATACAAGATTATAATTACTTAATCTTAAAATTATATTTCAATCACCCACTCCTACTCAATATCATTTTTTAATCACAATTATACAATATTGAGATATTACCAGAAAATTTTCATAAGCTTTTTTTATTCTTCTTGGAGAATAAGTTATAATCTTTTTTTTTCTATTAAAAAAAATCATAAACTATTTTGATAATACGGAAACTTAACATTTCTTAGAAGATCAAGGTASTTTTACAAAGAATTTAAGTTGATYGAAATTAAGTAGGAGAATATAAGGCGAGGAAACAAAAAGGTATATAAATAGCAGAGTAAAATTAAATTATATTATGATTTAAGTAATTRAGCGAGATCAAGGTGCGGTGGTCTTGGATAGATAGTTCGTGATTGGTGTGGTGAGGCAGTGTTGTCAGGGAGTCGTCTGATAGTTCTGCAACCAAAGATCAAAATCCTGGAAGCCATGGCTATTTGCGAAGGATTAAGAGTGATAACGATGGAAGGAAATTTATCGATTTATGTAGAATCTGATTGCCTATAAGTCATAAATCTTTTGAAGGATAAAGAATCTGACCTTACAGAAATAGGATCAGACTGCAGATGTTGTGTCGATCCAACATGTATTGAAAGATTTGAATCTGGTGTCCGTTGGAAGCATGGGGGAGAGGGAGATATACCATTTTAGGAGTACACACCAGTTTAATTTTTAAAACCCGCCCAATTTCCTCCTTTTTTTTCCCCTTTTTTACCAAATTCATACATTTACCAAGTTTATCATCTCTCTGCATCATTCAAATAAAATGCGTGCGGGTGAGAAAATTATTAACATTTGATAATTCAAATTACACTAATTCAAATTACTAATAATGACATGCTAGCTTCATTGAACTGGGACTGGCGTGCACTAAACTTTTAATCACGGTTCAATTAACCAAAACTATGATGTTCGAGTTCAAATACTTGTGTCGCGATGACACCATTTTTATATCTCCAATTAGACATGTTTAACAAATGAGTGATGACGGAATAAGTTGCCTGCATTTCTTTCTTTCAAATGAAGACAAGATAGCCTCTTTATACTCTGTGTCGTCGTTTCTCATCAATCAAAGATTCGGACACATACAAGCTGATGCAGAAAAAAACTCTCCTTAAAGAATCTGACTAGGAAACGAGTCAGCAATTTACACCCAAAGTTGGGAAATAGCCCCACCCCACTCAACAATTCCACACCCACGACCTGTCTGCCAACTCTCATATCCCAAATATCTCCATAATTGTATGATATGATAATAATTGTATGATATTGTTCACTTTGAACATAGCCCTCACGACTTTGCTTTTGATTTCACCAAAAAAAATCTCGTATCAATGAAAATAATTATCTTTATCTATATACCATAGATCTCTCTCTTCACTAATCGATGTGAGGCTTTGATTGTAACACACTTTACAATCCCAACACTTTTTTCATCAGACAATAAATTATTTAATCTGTATCCAAACAAGTAATGCCTTGTAAGCATCTCTCAAGCTTTGTACTAGTTCAACTTTGTTGTGTTCCTGTTCCAAACACTTCTAAACCAAAATAGTCCCCACCAATTTTATGTTTATGATCATCATTCTTCTACTGAATAAGCTCTAATCCAATAAATTGCAGATTTCTCCATTTGCACTTAGCTACCTGACATGGGATATATAACTCGTAAGTGGGGTTGTTCAACATTCTCAAAATAACTCTCTATGGCTGTATTTCTCTCTATATTCTCTAATGTAAACAGAAAAAATAGAATCCTTCCTTTTTATCTGCCACAAAGAAAAAGCCTAGCCAACTTTTCTTTTGATAGAGGAAGAAGAATTAGATTCTTCTGTAATGGACCCTTTTCTTTCACGGGAAAGAAGTAAAGGGTTCCGCGTGCCCCCATAGGCCATATTTGAGAAAGGCAATAGATAATGAATAAATTTGTATTCCCTAGTAATAAATTTTATAAACAAAATAGGTCTAGGATTAGGAAAGACATGGGTAAATTTTGAAGGATACAACAAAAAAGTATGTGTCATGGGAGATGAGGATAGAAGTATTTGGCACAAAAATCAACGATAATTAAAACAATGAAAAGGAAGTCACTTTATGAGGATGATGGGAATCCATCCAAAATCCTTTTTTGTATCAATCAACCACACCTTTGCTTCTCTTCTTTTCTCTATATAAACTCCAACTCCACATATTCCTTTCTTTTCAGCCTCCGCAAGATAACACCATAATATATATCAAAAACAAACATTAGAATTTAGAAGGGAGGAGAGAAGAGAAATGTGTTACCCTTACCCACATGATTTGCAGCCTCACCTGGTAAGCCGGAGGGAGTTGGGTGTCCAATGCAACTGGCTCCTGTTGCAGGCTGCGGCAGTGGCCAGGAGTGGTGATGGTGGCGGCAGGTCGGATAAAAGACAGTGCTTGTGCTCACCGACCGAGCACCCCGGGTCATTTCGTTGCAGACTACACCGCAACGAGTACGTTTGGGTTGGCCGGAATCGGATGGTAAAAAGTGAATCGGCCAGCAAAATATTTTCCGTCCAACGATAAGGTCAAAAGAATTTATTTATTTCCTATGAATCGAAGTGTTGTTCTGACTTCTAGTCCCTATCAATGAGATGAATCACCCGAATGTTAGCCTTAATGTATATCCATCCATAATTATGAGTCTGACAGACGGTATTCATGTTTTCTTCCTCATTTTCTTTCCCATAACATGATTCTATGTTGATTACTTTTTTCACTGGATAATGTCATCCATCAAAGGTCGAGAAAGTAAGAAAGTGGTAGCTCGTGTAAGAATCTGATCACTACTCTTGAGTAATTTATAAAAACATGGTCTCTAAGTCACAATCCACAGAGGTATTCACCCTTTTTTTTTCTTCCCTCAAATCCCTATCATATATGACAATGGAGCCTAAACTTCCTAAGAGTAATATTTACAGAGTGAAACTCAGTAGGATCAGGCAGGGATTCCCAGTTTCAGCTTCACGGCACAAATGCCATTATGAAAATTGAATTTTGCTATCCTTCCCTTCACTGCAAAAATAAGGAAGATAACAGAAAAGAAACCCAAGGGATTGGAGTGTGAGGTTGAAATTTTGGCAGAATATCAACAGAAAAATAAGGCATGAATCCTCACCTCAGGGTAGCAATCTTGATGTTCAATCGTTTTGTCATTTGTATTCACAAAAACCTCACATGACACCCTTGCCTGATAAGAAAACACCATTAAAGCAACAGAACACTGAATACATTATAGCAATTTATGCTTAATAGTCTAATTGGTGAAAGAGACGACAGAAGGGTGGGTGGGGAAGAAGAGGACGGATTTCTTTCAACTCAAATTATAAATTCCACTATTTGACATGTATAGAAGAATGCCCCAACAGCATAATATTGTTATACAGGCAGGTCATAATCAACGGCATAGCTCACTTAAGTTTAGAATCCAGACCAATGGCGTAGAAGAAAAATTGAGATTTTGGCCATGGTTTGAGAGTGCCGAAACTTGCACGACCAAGAACTGAATTTCTACGCTAAGAAACGTGTAATATTCGCCAATGCATAACAAGCATTGTCTAAAGTAGCGAAGATTTTGAGGGAATCAAGTCTTGTTACTGCGCATTCTTTCAACGATTGCAAACTAGTCAAAAAAGCAAAAGCTAGATGGTGGCTATGAAATTTCGATCGCTGAATATAGGTTGCTTGGAAACGAATCAATGTTAAACCAATTTACAATTCCGAGTAATGAATTGATCAATCGTTCGAAACTGAATCAAAATAGATATTACCTTAATCGGGAATTTGATAAAGAAAAGCCCCATGTATCCTTCCACCTCTGTCTCCGTATCGAACGGGACGATACCCGTCGCCAAATCCTCGATCAAGTAAATGCCGTCGTGGATGACCTCGAAGCCATTCAAATCGAGAGTGGCATTCACGTAAGACAAGCCTCGAGCAGACACTCGGCCGCCCTCCGAGCTCACAAATCCGAGTCGCCTTCCACGGTACCCGACGGAAACGCCGAGGTAATTGTAGTCGAGAGAGAAGAAATTGTTATTGCGAACCCTAACAGAAGCAGAGAAAGATAGGTCAAGGAGGAGAACAGGCAACAGACGGACTTTGAGGCGGTTGAGTTTCAATCGGACGAGTTGTAGCGACGGATCGGCCGGAAAAAGAAGAAAGGCTACGGCGGAGAGGAGGAGGAAGGCGGCGGAGTAGAAGGCACAGAGGCGCAGAAGCCGCCGACGCCGGAATCGTGGGGGACGGTAGAGGGACAATACGACGACGTTTTGGTGAGCGGCATTTGGAGGAAGAAGAGAGTAGGGCACGGGGACAGAATCGTCCCTGGAGCTGGAGGTCATGTTTGTTGGAGAGAATAAAAATAAAAGGGAACAGTACACTGCTTTTTGTTTCATTTTGGGATGGGAAATTTACACGTCAAAAGCAACCGTATACGCAAAGTTTTAAAATTAAAGGCAAAGGAAGAGTAGATCATACAGATATTTCAGGCTGGTGCAACTATATCTTATGTTATAATTATATGTATCCAAATCAAACATATCCTTTATAATTTATTAAATAAAATAGTAACATTCTCAACAAAAAAAAAAATCAATAAAATGGTAAATTAAAATGTTGATACTATGGAATCTAAATATAGTAGTAGATATTTTTCAAGTACACACATTTGTTGATCTACATTTTCATGTGGTGGAGTTATATTGGATTAGTTTTTTACAAATGACATGGGGTGTTCTACATCATATAATTGTGGAATATTTTGAAAGGTAAAAGAATGTCACAATCACTCTTTAAAAAATGACAGTCAAGCTCAATGTATTTCGTGCTCTCATGAGAAATTGGACTAGAAGAAAGATGTACAACAACATGGTTTCTGTTTCGTCCTCTCATGATTACAGGAAAGATGTACAACAACATGGTTATCACATCAGAGAAAGGCAAGAAACTGAACGGACACTCGTAAATCGGCCAAAGAGGTGATAGCCAAACAAGTTCACACTAGCGGTAGCAGCCAGCGCACGATATCAGCTTCAACAGAGGAATAAGACACACTGGTTTGCTTTTTGACATCCCAAAATATATATTTTGACTTCCTGGAATCAAGCCAAGATGGCCAATTAGCATTCGAGAAGGCACGAAGTTGAAAAGAAGAAGATCGTCGTAACAAAATTCATTAACAAGGAGAAGACTTCAAATATCGCAGGGAGGAATGAAACAGCAACAAGGTGACCAGAATGTCGAGGATAAACAAAAACTAATTGAATTGATTTCGTGGTTGATTTTTGGCGCTGAAAGTGTTCTTGCATGTCAGCAAGGAGAATGCTAGTAGAAATCTCATTTGAAAGCAAATTTAGGATCCAGGAAATGACAACGTTGTTCTATATGATCCATCAGTTGAGGAGATCATCGAAAGGTCGAGAAATGGAATCATCGATGAATCCGATTTTGTTTTTGATGGTGAGCACAATGGTCATGGACCTACTCCATGAAGTGTAGTTTTCATAGGTGAGGAGATTGGATACAAGTACGAGGCTTGTATGATCAGAGTGGAGGAAATATGGATTTGTGTAGTGTTCCTGAGATGATTGATTGAGAGAAGATAATGCTATAGCGGTGGGGAATGATGAAGCCCTCCATAGTGGAGAAGAAAGGGTGGTGAAACAAAAAAAAAATGTAATAAATGAAGAAATTGCCAAAAATAGAAGTTTCTTGAAAACTCTAAAATAGTCAATTGATACCATATTAACAATGATAGTAACTACATCACTTGATAATAAGTTGAATGATAAACCTAATAATATCAATACAATTTCGTATTTGAAGGTGACTAGAAGAAGAAGGGAAAAAAAAAACATGATTAGAAAGATTGTACTAAAAATATATTTCATCAAATCATTTTTATGGAAAGAAAAAATCATATTTTTGGTCTTATGAGTTTTCATTTGATAACAATCGAATTTAAAGTTCAGAACCAAACAATTTTATGCTTGAAAATCAAAATTCCTTGTTCTAGTCTGGTTAGGAAAAAAAATTAGATTAAAGACAAAAGAGGGAGAAAGAAGGTATTTTGTTTTCATGGAATAAGAGAGAAGTTTACTATAATTTATTTATTTTTTTTTTAACTCTTTTGGCAATTTGAAAAAAATGACACAAATGGGAACCAAAAGTTATTTGAGGATCGGGATGGGACTGCATCCTTTGACCCCACTTCACTCCATTGCCATTTCTAGTATTCCATGAATTATGAGATGTAAAAACCTTAAAACAGTGTAATAAATAATGCAAACCAAATATTAAAATAATTTTATTGCATGCCATAGTTTATTCATGGGATTATTTGACATTCTATTTTGTGGAACTGCAAAGTCGATGTGGGTTGTGGGTTGCATCATATTAAAAGTGAAGATACGTAACACAACACTACAAACACAGTTTATTTAAAATGAAAATAATTGGAAGATGAAGTGAAAACTTCATTCAAAATTAAAGAAAGAAAAAGGAAAAAATTGATAATAAAAAAAAAAAGAATTTAAAAAGAAAAGAGAGAGAAATAGAATAGACGTTTAACCGATGAGGGCCCACGGCCCAGTGGGGAGTGCTAAAAGACAATGGGCTGAAGGCTGCTATCCTATCCATATGACTCACACCCATAATACTTTCGTTTCGCCCAAAGAATTCCCGAATTTTCCATTTCTTTCAATAAATAAAAATTTTAAATTATTTAAAGCAAAATCAAAAGACGGTACGTGACTGTCCAATCACAACGCCAGATGCCGCTTCCGCCTGC